AAAGTATTAAATGCAGATAAAAAAAACCAACCAAGGAAACAAAAACAAAGAGATTTAGCTTTTAGTTCTAATTTCTAAACATAGCTATCGAGATCCAAAAGTATTGGAAAAAAAAACAAAGCCTTCACTGTAAAACGAAATCATAATTTTATTTTAAGGTGTGGACTCTGAATCTTGTGGATTAAATTAAAAATATTAACGTTAATTGTAGACAATATACAAAGCTAAGAGACTCTAACCAAACATCTATTAGAAAACAAAAAAGAAATCAACACGCTAAAGCTATCCAAATTCCAAAGAGCGAAAAGCCGAGAAATATAGAAATACCAGAGTTTGTTTAACGAGGAAAATATTAAAATACACTTTAATTAGCAATTAACATTATTTAAAGGATATTTTTTATATTTTACAATATTTATATAATTTCTAAATAAACAATTAAAAACCATACTTAAGATTTCAACACCATATTACAACTATATACAAACTCTATCATTTATTTTGTTAAATAATTTTCAAAATATATATATTTACATAAAATATTTTCATTCATTCACTTCACACGTGTAGTAAAATAAAATATTAACTAAGAGTTTATGGAAGGAGGAATCAAATCATGTAAAATTAAAACATAAAGGCTAAATATTAAATATGAGCATAATCAAAGTATCAAAACTACAATTTAACCTATTAATATTAGCCGTCGTTTCAATTGCTGTCCTCTGGAATACTGTCGGGCAAAGCGGAATCGGGCGGCGGAGCTGAAGGCGGTCGGAAACTGGTTTCAAATAGCAGGATCTTCTTTATTATGTAGCATCAATCATCTAAAAGACGAAGCATAGCTTGAAAGTAAAGATGGGCGCGAACATTGTCGAGAGATGCTCGACGATTCGCTTCCCTGGTTTCTGAAACAGTATGCTCCAGCTTCATCAGCTCCGCCTTGAATTTCCAATCAGCCTCTTTCATGCGCTTGAGTTCCCACCGCATCTCGGCCGCCTTTGCTTCCAACTGTTCCAATTCCTTCTCCTGTTCATCGTTAAATGCTTCTAAAGAGTACAGTCGTGGTTGATTGAAATCGAAATCACTGAAAATAAAAAAAATAATAAAATCAAATATACCTGAGCCTTCCTTTTCCAAAGCGTACGATATTTCTTTCTCGCAACTTTCCATTTCTGCAGCCATCACACCAAACAGATAAGGAATAATAAATAAATAAATAAATAAATAAAAAGATATGAATAAATTATACTTCAAGCTACTTAATTATTAGTATTTGTCGATATTTACAAACATACTGATGTATTACTTTATCTAGTTAAAAAAATATTAAATTTTAGATAATTACAATTAAATTACTTAATCAATTGATTGTAACCATCATGTTATGTATCATCGCATCAATCGATCGGTGTTGGTCATTGTATACGATAGCCGATGAATCACAAATCTCGTTATAAGATTCACCTTAATTTCAATCCTAGGATTAAAATTTTAAGAATCCCTTTCAAAAGTCACATAATACTTTTCAACTCATTGAACTTTGATTAAAATCGTCGACTCGAAATATGTTCTTACTTACGACAATCTCCTCGCCATTCAGATTATCGAATGGAACCCTCGAAACCTAAATGATTTATTTCGATTAAGTGACTTGTTTATGGTATTTTAAAACCGGGAGGCTCATTTGTAATCTTACTAAAGAATAAAACTTCTTAGTCTGTACCAGAGGCTTGCGTTACGTCGGCGGTTGGCTTTTCCCCATTCTTTTGTTTCGTTTCATATCCCCAATACGGTGTCGTTTTTGTAGGTAAAAGACTATTATTACGATCACCATCTGCTTTTGGAAAACATCCCAAACGAACATAATATATAGCCTTTGATATGGTCCTTCCAGGAAACTTCGGGGGAAGTAAAAGAAGGGTGTGATATTGGAGAATAAAGAATATTCCGTGCGGATACCGCTTGCGTGGCAACGAAGCCGCGCGATAACCGCACGAGATCGCCTAAACCAATCCACAGAGTCGAGCGTCCGTTGAAAGAGCGAGCGCTACCGGTGTCGGTGGGTGTTTGATTTTCTTTTTTTGAAATAAACCACAAATTGTATACTCGTACTCCTTAGTTACATTATCATCCTCGTCATCCATGTAAAGGTTGAGGATAAAGTATATACAAACATTTTGATTATTAGATTTTTAAAATTATTTACAATATTATAAAATAAATATTAGTGAAAGAGACACTCGAAGTCTATGAGCTTTTTAAAAAAAAATCAATGTGGCATTTATCTTATTTTTGGATCAATATGACTTTCTAATTTGAAAAATAACTCAATTTGATCATTTGATCAACGTTTTCCGTCATTGACCAACGGTTTTGTTAATTCTACTGTTATAAATTGGGTAAATTACACCATTCATCACTGAACTATTTTCTTCTCTTCTATTTTGGTAACCAAAATCAAAAAGTTTTCAATTTTAAAAACTTTAAAGATTTTAGGGACTAAGGCTGTAGTTAACCCATTTTAAACTACACAAATGGTCACTTCTAGAGTTAACTACGGCCTAATACTCGCACCCACATCCATCAGATCTTCGACCTTTCTGCCTAAATATTATGATATTTTTTAACAATTACAATTAGATTTTATTAATAAGAATAAATGAAGGAATGAGAATTACAATGTACCCAAACATAAAAAAGAAATACGGACAATATTCACCAACAAATTCATACAAAAACAAAAATATTAAATTCAAACATAAAAAACCTTCAATTGAAAATGACGACCAACATCGAAAAAATTTAGTAATTTTTATAAAAACTCATTGTCTCTGTCGAACGAGACACTTTACAAAGTGATAAAGAAGTGGTGAACGAACTAAACTATATGACAGACCGCTTCATTATAAAATTCTGATTATACCAACAAACAATCATTTATCAAACATGTGATTTGACAGTTTGAGCATTCCTAAACCAATAAAAAAATAAATATTGTGATGTTCTTTGTGCGAGCACCAAAATGATCATAAAAGTATGTGAAAAGCGTACTAAATGCAATAAGATTCGTGTCGCAAGAGCAAAAAAAATATGCCACAAGAGTAGAGAATAGTGTTTCACAAAAAAAGACATTCTTATTAAAATTAAAAAAAAATCAAGAAAAAAAATGAGAACAATGGACATAATGTGAAAGAACAAGAAAATTAATAATTGCATACGATAGTCAACCAACATTAAGACTGATGCAGTCGCCAGCTAAACAAAAATTAAAGAAAAAAAGAAAACGACACAATAATATTAAGAGAAAACCTAGATTATTGTGATGTTATTTATTTTAATAGTAAACATTGTAATGTTATAATAAATATAAAATCTCGGTAATAATTAGTGATTATTATAACATTTCAATAAAATTTAATAATTATTTATAACAGTTAATGAATTCAATGATCGTTTTATAATATTTTGATAAATTTAATTATATTTTAAAATTTTAACCATCAAACAATCATTTAACCATAGTTTAATGACTTCTAATATAATTTATTTAGAAGTACAAATTTAAATATAAATGTGTGAACCAAATTACCTCAGTGATTAAAAGAATAATTGTTATTCTTAGAGGTTTTGAGTTCAAGCACTAGCAATTGTAGTTCATTATTAAATGGTTAATAGTATCTAGAACAAATAATAATTTATATCTATATTGTCGTAACGTTTTTTTCTAAAACGAAAACGATTAGTTTTTGCAAAATTTTTTATTTTTCGTATGAATTTAATTTGGAGTAGCTATCGACCTTTGGGTTAGATAGATCGAATACATAAAAACGTTTTTTAAAACAATTTTAAGAAAAATAATTTTTAAAGACAAAAATTGGTTTGCGTTCATTGAAGATTCGTTTTTAAGGGCTTGGGAATCGATTACGCATGTAGAAAGATTAACACCCCACAACGCCCAAAAGTGGTACCTAGTCACTTATACATTGTCATAGTAGTGGAATTTGTAGATTCATATTCAAATTTAAAATATGATCCTTTTATTAAACATTGATCAATTTATTTCGAATTTAAGGTACATTGCCTATTCTTTGAAGAAATCACGAGATTTACACAAATTCCAATGAGAAATTATTCCATCTATTTCTTCTTACACAAGAATGGCCTCTTCTTAATTTATGACCATCAAAATTAGGAAAATTGAATATAAACGTGATAAAAACAATAGAATAATAATTAAAAAAATAAATAAGACATGCCAACAAAGAATTAAAATAACGATCTGATTAAAGGAATGAAAATAAAATCATTCTCGGATACACATTGAGAGTGATGTTACGAATGTTGACAACTTAACACCACACAACTAGATATGTCAACAGTGAGTTGTCATTTGGTGGATTATTGAAGGAGCATAGACATCTTGTCACACCTCAATTTAGGAGTCAAATTATAAGTTTCTGAAACTTATAATCAATTTTTGAAGTTACAGGAAATTCAGGGACTTAGTCCAAAATTTACCCATTTTTGTGAGATGTTGAAAAATAAAATCTCCCTCCCCGTGTAATCTGGTTTTCTCCAGATGCTCACCCCAATTTCCCCCAATTTCCTTTTCCGTTAGTATATCTTTGTAGCCCTGATTCTCTATCATCCGACCACTGTTCGTCGATCCGACACCACCAATAGACTCACCATTGAACGGAGAACAAAACCCGACCTCTATCCTGTCGTGAATCGGCATCGTTCGCTGTAAAACTCAACCATAAGCTTCGTAAGTTTTAACTCGATCACTGTTGGTTTTCTGTCGATTTCGGTTGATCCGGCCACCCGTTCATCACACCTCCTACACCATCAGACTCACCGTCATCGTGAGCTCAAAACCATACCAAAATCGTCGCGTCGTTGTTTCTCCATCATCCTCACTCGCCGATCACCATCAGATAAGTTTGTACATTTTAAAATTCTACAATCCGTTATGTTTTGGTGAAAAATAACACTTGCACAAGACTCCCGAGGTGTCGATCTACAAATCTAGAAAATTTTACGCCGAACCGACAACCAGAGCCGCCGTACGTGCCACGCTCTACGAGTGGGCTTTGTCTGGCAGCCTGAGGAGTGGGCTGAACTGGTTTGACTGGCTGGATCGAGCCTGGCGAGTGGCCGCTAATTCAAACTGAGCCAAGCCGTTGACCGAGCCTTTGACCGTTGACCGAGCTGTTGAACGTAGTTGACCGGCCGTTGACTTTTTTCGAGAACACCTGTCCTGATGCTTTTCGACGTCCTGAGTCTGTTTTTGAGGTCCGTTTCGCCAAATTCAAACTCGGTAAACGTTTTTCAGTGATTAACCACATGATTCGATCTATTTTAATAATTAAGATTTGTTTCTGATGAAATTTCTGTTGTTGTGCATCTGAGAAATTATTGGACATTGAATTCAAGTTGAGGGCGATAGAATGGAATTTAAAATAGTTATCAGTATGGCACGAAAATCGAGATAATACTCTACTACATTTTGTATGTTTTTCGGAACTCATGGATAGATGGTAATTGCTTGATTGGAATAATTGATCCGTTAGAGTAGTTAACTATCTTTGGACTCAGACGAAAATTAGATTAAGGATGAAACAATGTATAAGACTCTTACGACTCAAAAGAAATTGGTATACTGATCGGAAACAAATCTCAGTTCAATGAATAAATCAGTAAATCAAACAATCTCTGAACGCGTAATTTCTGATTAATCTCGTTAAGTATTACTGATTTATTTGGATATGAAATTACTGAAAAGAATTCCATGGTTAAATTATAAAAATGCCCTTGTACTGAAAAAGGATCAAGACTTCCCCTAGTGGTGAAATTAACCTCCAGTGAACAAATGAGTGTAATACTCTAAACTATAATGGAAATAGAATACTTTCAAGATTAATTTACCCAAAGTAATGCCATTGACATAATTGAATAAAATTACGATAATACCCTCAGCTCTGAAATGAACTAGTAGCCTCAATGATTGAGGTTTAAGTAAATGATTGGATAAGTCTGGAAACTCCGATGAACTTACATGATGTACCATTCCTATGGGTTATGAACCATAAATCAAGTAAGTCGATATTTCCTGATACCGTTGAAATGTGGAAATGAAATAAAGACCTATGGAAGATATGTTCGCCTCCTTATGATATATTTAACGATGATTATGAAGATGATCTATAGACAAGAATTGTTGGTACTAAAGAGTGAATACCCTGGGAGGGCAATGAATTAAGCAGTTGACATGCATCAGTTCTAGGAGTTGTTCATCTCTAGTTGTTCGATAATCCGATTGATTGACATGGATGGTAAATGCTTTGAATCTTAGTTTCTCCCTTATCAGTTCAAATCACTACGAATTCTCTAAGAACCTAATACCCAAAATGCCCTGATTTTCCTGAATAATAGAATCACTTCAGTCATATATGAAAACATAAGTAACTCAGATGCAAAAGACTCTGAATACCCTTCTGATTTCTTAGTGCCTTCGAAAAACGTCCGAATACAATATGATCCTGATAAATCACATTCTGAATAACTGATGATTCCATCAACTAATGAACTCTTCAGATAGTGATTCTAATTTATGACATTATATCGGTACACTAAAGATCCATGTTTCTCTGTCCTATAAGATTATCTAGTACCTCTGAACCATATATGTATCCTCTAGTGTGTTCCCTGATCACATGGATATTTTCTCTGATTTTTGTTCTAATTTCTGCTATGATTTTTTATATCTCCGTTTACGGAAAATGTTTTATTTGGGATACTCTGGGATCTGGTATGAAGACTCTAGCAGGTTTAGTCATTACGGTTAATTCCTTTTATAGGTTCTGCACCGATTGGTAATTCCTTATAAACCTAAGTCAACCCTTGGGTAGGCTCTGCGACCCTGAGATTTTTCTTGGGTAAGTCTCCGTGGCCATGAGAATTATCTTGGGTAGGCTCTCAGGCCCCAAGGTACTCCCTTAGGTTATGTAGTTCTGGGGAACTGCATTGACGTTCGGTTGGAGAGACTATTATGGTTTTGAAAACATGTTTTAAATGGTTTTGTGGGAATACACTAGATAACCTATCCTGATCTTCTGAACTTTGTCATCCGAAATATTTCCATCTGAACTAAAAGCTTACTGTCCGTTATTACCTGAAATATTAGTAAGATCTTTGCTTAACATAAAGATCTGTATATGTCTGAACCAATAAGAAAAATTATGTTTATAAGTTATCTGCATGTTCCTCACCATCTTCTGGTAGTTCTGTATTACTGAGCTTTCCAAAGCTCACTCGGTTACTCATATTTTCAGGTTAAAAGGATTGAACCAATACAACTATCGACATCAGTAAGGGAGTTCTTCTGGCGTTGTTTGCAGTGTATGATACAAGTGATTAGTGGGCATATAGGTTGTATTTTGTTTTTAGATCCGAGTTTGAAATTTGTTTTATTTCTGAATACTGATAAATTTTATTTTGTATTCATAAATCATTTTATGAGTTTACATGTTTTAATAAAAGTGTTAATTTTTCGGCTATTTTTACTGTGGGTCACTCCGGTGGCCCTAATGTGATACCTCGAATCGGATCGGGTCACCCACATCAATCTACGAGTGTTACATTTAGTGGTATCAGAGCTTAAGTTGAGTTAAAATTTTCAAGATAGACCGGCCGGTCAAATATCAAAAGATTTCTGATCTGTACATGCCCCTAGACTACAACCGTACTTCTCTAAGTCGAAACTCCAAGGTTGAGTCACTCTCTATAATAAGCTAATCAAAGTTTCTATCCGTTAGAGCTCTAACTTTGTATAAAGGAATACCAGTAGCATTTTTCTAAACTCTGTAAAGTACCTCATGTGTAATGTGGGAGTTATTTATTCGAGAAATTTTGACCTGACTCTAGAAATGAAACTGAGATATGTTATCGCTCTATGAACATAGCCTCGTAGCAAAGGTTGAATTGATTCCACAAGGATAATTCCGTTCTGATTCTTTTATTGGAATGAGGGAGAGTTCTGTCGAAAATGTATACTCAGCTGGTTAATGATTAATAGAGGAATGATACTTCTGTAAAAGCTACTAGAAGTCATGGAAGAACTGATGAAAGCTTCATTTCTACAATTCTGTGACATGAATGAATTTCGTTTCGAGGACGAAATTCTTTTAAAGATGGGAAAATTGTCACACCCCAATTTAGGGATCAAATTATATGTTTCTGAAACTTATAGTCAGTTTTTAAAGTTATAGGAAATTCAAGGACCTAGTCCTGAATTTACCCATTTTTATGAGATGTTGAAAAATAAAATCCCCTCCCCCATGTAATCTGGTTTTCTCCAAAAGCTTACCCCAATTTTCCCTAATTTCCTTCCTCATCGGTCCATCTTTGTATCCCCAATTCTCCACCATCCGGCCACCATTCGTCGATCCGACACCACCAATACTCATCATTGAATGGAGAACAAAACATGGCCTCTATCCCATCGTGAATTGGCACCGTCCGCTGTAAAACTCAACCAGAAGCTTCATCGGTTTTAACTCGATCGCTATTGGTTTTCCATCGATTTGGTTGATCCGGCCACCCATTCATCACACCTCCTACACCATCGAACTCACCGTCACCGTGCGCTTAAAACCCGACCAAAATCATCGTGTCATTGTTTGTCCGTCGTCCTCACTCACCGATCACCATCAGAGAAGTTGGTACATTTTAAAATTCTAAAATCCGTTATGTTTTGGTGAAAAATAACACTTGCACGAGACTCCCGAAGTGTCGATCTACAAATCTTGAAAATTTTACGCTGAACCGATGGCCAGAGCCGCCACACACGCATTCCCTGCGAGTTGGCTTCGTCTGGCAGCCTGGGGAGTAGGCTGGACCGGTCTGAACCAGCTGGATCGGTCTGAGCCGAGTCGTTGACTGTTGACCGCAATTGATCAACCGTTGACTTTTTCCGGGAACACCTATCTTAATATTTTTAACGTTCTGAGTCTGTTTTAGGTTCGTTTCATCAAATTCAAACCCGGTAAGCTGTTTTTCAGTGATTAACCACCTGATTTGATCCGTTTTTCACAATTAAGCTCTGTTTCTGATGAAATTTCTATTGTTGTGTATTTGAAAAATTATTGGACATTGAATTCATGTTGAGGGTGATGGAATGGAATTTAAAATAATATATTAGTATGGCACGAAAATCAATGTAATACTCTACTACCTTTTTGTATGCTTTTCGAAACTCATGGATAGATAATAATTGCTTGATTGAAATAATTGGTCCGTTAGAGTAGTTAACTATCTTTGGACTCAAACAAAAATTAGATTAATGATGGAACAATGAATAGAACTCTTACGACTCAAAATAAATTGGTATACTGATCGGAAACAAATCTCAGTTCAATGAATAAATCAGTAAATCAAACAATCTCTGAACGCGTAATATCTGATTAATCTCGTTAAGGATTAAATGTAGGAAATATTTGGATATGAAATTACTGAAAAGAATGCCATGGTTAAATTACAAAAGTGCCCTTGTACTGAAAAATGACCAAGACTTCCCCTAGTGGTGAAATTAACCTCCAGTGAACAAATGAGCGTAATACTCTGAACTGTAATGGAAATGAAATACTTAAAAGATTAATTTACCCGAAGTAATGCCATTGACGAAATTGAATAAAATTACGATAATACCCTCAGCTCTTAAATGAACTAGTAACCTCAATGATTAAGGTTTAAGTAAATGATTGGATAAGTCTGGAAACTCCAATGAACTTACATGATGTACCATTCCTCTGGGTTATGATACATAAATCAAGAAAGTCGATATTTCCTGATACAGTTAAAATGTGGAAATGAAATAAATACATTCCAGACTGAGTTTGTCTAATTCTCATTTGATTTGATTCTTTAACGGAGGATGCCACCAAATTCTCGCTTGCGCACGCACAAATGAGACTACTCCGTCTAACTTTTCCATATCAGAACAATGGAGTCCTTCAAGCATGATTTTCGCATCGTTAAGCCAAAGGTCCGCAACAACTGGACCTTCCTCGTCTTCACCTTTGAACTCGGGAGCTCCTAATCCCTTTAATTTTTTTTGCCACATTCATTCTCTGTGTTGAGGAGACAAGAGGTTGGAAATGCGTCAATACCGCGTCCAACGTCCTAAAGAACACATCTTGATCAGCTACAGGCACTCCAGAAGGTGTCCGTTCTTTACCTTACCTGGCCAGGGCAGGGGAATTACTACCCTCAGTTAATCTATCATCTCCCGCTTCACCTCAAGAGCTATCTTATCCGGACATCTAATAAAATATAACCAAATAAGTCTATTAGCATAACATCATACTTATTACTCAGATCAGATCAAAAGTTATCACTACTTTGTTGGTATGTACATATCTAAAGACACTCTAGACTCAGGTTTATGCCTAGAATCGGCTAAATCGTAGCTTAGATACCATTAAATGTAACACCCCCAACCCGTAACCGACCTGAATACGAATCTGAGGTGTCACATTGCCTTTTCAAAGCTTGTGTATTTATAAAACCAACCTAAATTTAAAACTTTCATTAATATAAAACTATGTTTACATTACCACTTTAAAACATTACACCTTGATCAGAGCGTCTATACTATATGACTCTATTTATATTCCAACACATATAAAATATAAACCAACATACTACGTCAAGTGCTTCTGATCTGATCTTCAAATGAGGATATGTTGTTCTGATGTTCCCCAAGACCTGTCTTCTTACTTTTCTGTACCTACGTGTAAATCACTTACAAGCTAAGTCACAGACTTAGTGAGGCATACTAAAATATATAATACACTTATAACAGGTCACATTATATGCATACTATATTCCATCATATTATCCAACCTCATTTCATTTGATCATTTTAGACAAAATCATCTCAAATTACATATCAATACATAAATACATATGCGTAGATCATTATTAATCTCCTTATTAATTCATGTGCATATGTGATTCAAAGCAAGCAATGGTAACATGATAAAATCCAATCATACAAACTCTTTTCATATCTTTTATAGGCCCATGTACATTGCTGAGAACTTAAGGTATGCGAGTACATTGAGGTTGTGCACTATGTTGTCACCACAGCTCGTATGGGGTCCCACTAGGGGCATGTGAAAGTTGTCCCAAATGACCTATGTATATCTTGAAGGATCTCTGTATGTCTCAAAAGACCTATGAACCCTCGACTCTTGGCATACCAACTATACCTATGGTTCTCACATCACATAACATGGCCATTGTTATTGTATTTATCGTTTATTTCTATCACATAAGCATAAACTTATAACTCTTTATCACACATCCTGTAATACTCTTATAGAGTTCCCTGTTTCCTTATCATATATTTCATTCACAAGTTCTTATTTTCATATGATTACGTAGTTCATATCACTTAGTCTTCTCCATATGCACGTATCACATTCATATTTCATAGTCATATAAGTTCATAAATTTATATACATATCTATATTATGTAACATTCACTATAACATATAAACACATATGCAGATAATCATCCATCTCATATTCTACCACACAAGCATTTGAGTACATTCTTATGTAAATATATATAACTTACACACATTTAATCTAAACTATAATATATGCATGTTCATGCTATTATACTA